AATCACAAATTATGAGTTCACCTTATATCATCATAAACTTACAGTTAAAAAATATTAGTAGGTATTATGAATTTTTTTTTCTAATTATAATTTTTTTGAACCTTAACAAAATTCAAAATTTTTATCTATTTCCTTTTAAAAAATTAAATTTACTTGACTACCTACATAGTTTTAAAAAATATCCCTTTAATTAACTCTACTAAAAAGTTAATAAAAAGAGAAATAAACATGGCCAATAATTGGAAAAAAAAAAAGATTGGTAAAATATTTATGTAGAAAGATATTAATATGAAGTATGTTGTGGCATTGGTGGGCCCTATTGTAGCCAAATTGGAGAAAAGAATAATATAAAAATATGTATTAAATGCCAAACCGTTCGGCTTTAACGGTAAAATGTGACAGTGTTAGCTAGGAATAGATGGAGGGACGAAATTGAACACCTTTTGAATAGTAGAGGGAGGACATGTGAGTTCAAAATGAAGTAGAGGGACTACTTGAGGTGATTACATAGTAGAAGGGTTAAATTGAACTTTTTCACAAAGTAGAGGGATGCTAATTGGCTTTAACCCGATTTTAAAGACAAAAGAGGAAAAAAGATTTAAAAAGGTAAAGAAAAAAAGTTTAAACAATCATTCTGTCTGTGACTAATTTAATAGTTTACCAAGTGGTCATTCTCGAGCCCATAATGGTGATTTGGTGAGCGTAGGTAAGTCTAGCAACGTCATCAATGCTCAATGATTTTCGTAGATAAATTTGCTCACAATAATTGAGAAAATAATTTCAATAAAATGATTTAATAGTTAAAAATTTAAGATTTTAAATTAAAAATTTAAATTTTAAGCTAAATGAGAAGAAATTTTTTATAAAAATTATTCTTCTTGTATAATTTATTAAAATGTACTAAAAAAAATTGAGAAGATAACTTAAACATAGACAATGATGATATACTTACGAAAAATGTGTTTATCCAATTCAATTTATAGGTAGGCCGCAAAATATCTTCGGTTTGAAAACAAAAGAGAATTGATTTATATTATATAATTTATAATTCAAATAAAAAATATAATTTATTAGAATAGATAATGACTTTTAGTCTCCTCTTTAATACTCTTGAAAAATGTGCTTATTCAATTCAATTTGGAGGTAGGTTGCAAAATATCTTCAATATGAGATGAATGATGCGTAAGTGATACGTGAGTAATATGAGTTAAAATTTTTTTAAAAAAATATTATTTATAATTTAAATAAAAAAATATAATTTATTAAAATATTATAAATTTGTCTAACTAAATTTCTCTCTTATATAAGGTTATTTTTTTAATCACCCTCTTATAAAATTATATGTCAGCATGATGTAAGGTATCTTTTAGTAACACCATTATTTATAATAATAATTTTTTAAAAAATAATTGCAAAGTAAACTTCACATCACTTTAATGATTTTTTTAAAATAATTGCAGATACATAGAGAAGACAATGAATCGAGAAAAACAGTCGGTCATTGAAATTCGACAGAAAGTTTGTGTATTGCCATCAATCAACCAATAGCCACCCCCAACTCCCACTTCCACACTAATGCATAACATAGGCATTGAATTTTCCTTTTTCTTGGCCAAATCTGCGGCTAAAGCCAAATAAAATCCATTTCACCTTTAACTTGTAATTCAACAGCATCTAGTTGTCATTTAGCCTAAAGGAACTTGTGGTGGGTGTTGGGTTTCATGTTCCATGTTTCTTGTCTGTAATCTCAACTTGATTGTCATTACCCATTAACACCAGTCTTAATCATCCTCTCCTTCATGCTAACTAGTAAATTACTTTTTGTTTTTTTTTTTAAACGTTAAAAGTGAGATTCAAGTCTCATATTTTTTAACTTATATGAAAAATCTCAAATAAAAGGATGGTAGTTACTAAACCATTATAATGTTTTCTTTTTATTTTTTAGTTGTCTTAATTTTTTAATTTTATATAATAAATAAATGAAAATTATAAAAAAAAAATTTCAGTAAAAATATTTAATAAAAATCATGTATAATTTTTTTTTTCAATTATAATTTATTTGTTATCTAAAATTTTTTAATCAAATTTTATATAAAAATTAAATTCAAACAATTAAATCATACCAAAATAAATATATGTGTGAGCATCTAGGCTATCAGCCCATTTGACTTAAAGGTGCATCAGGAGGAGAGACTTGGGTTCTATTCCCTACAATTAAATTTGTAACATGTTCAAAATAAAAAAAAAAATTAATGTCCAAGTGCGTAAGGAATGACGACTCTCTCTTCCTCTCCTTTTCATTCCAATAAATTTTTTACACAGCTAAATGCAATAAAGTTTGACGGTAGTCTTGAATTTAAATAATATCTACTACAAAGCACTGGCAGCAATAGTTTCATATCATGACTCAAGTCTTTGTAACGTAAAAAGTAGATTCTGTTGAGACTTGACTACTTGAGGGGGATTGTTCGAAATTGTTAAGAGATTAGAATGAAGGATGGTGTTGACATCACGGCTAAGGTGTCGATACCTTAAGTGAGAAAAGAAAAACAAGAAAAACAAAATCAAATAAGTTGTTGCCTTAGCTAAGGTTTGTGTTTTGAGGTCAATGTTTAAGAAAAATTATTTTCCTTAAATATATGATGCTAGTTTGGGGATAATGCTCTCAATGTGGGATTATTGTTTTAAAATTGTCTAAATAGATATTAATTTCAAACTAAAAAAATTATTTTAAAAAAAAAACATATAGTTGAGTCTTCAAGTGAATAGTAAGCATTCTTAATTTTAGTGAGTGCTTGACCAAGTTACTATTTTATTGATTTTTAAATCTTAAAATTTTATATTTTTATGTTAAAATCAAGAGTTCAGACACTGACTTTGCCAAACAAAGCAACTAACTCTTTGTTTTCTTTGAACTAAGCAACTAACTTTTAATATTTAAAAAGTACCATTGTTTTTTTTAATATATGGAGAAATTGAGACTTCTATTAATGAGAATAAATAAAGAAATTAGTTAGGAATCTGCCGAAAACTAAACAAAAGTTATGATCTACAATATTAGATACAAATGAAAATTAATTATGCTCATAATAAATAAACATAATTATGCATAATTATGTATAAAGAATTATCTATATTTAAAAATTAAATCACAATTACTATGATAACATGTATTGAGCTAGAAAGAAAAAGAATTTACCTCTGAATGTCCTTATAGTGACTTGTGCACTTTAACTTGTGCATGGCAGTTTAGAATAGCATTGTTTTTATTCACTCTTCAATCAATCTTCATTATAGTTTTTTTTTTCCTGATGGTTCCATCATAGTCGATCGCTACGATTATTATTTTATACAATCATTAATTTATATTATTTGGGTAGGTTAATGATATATGATAATTTTTTTTTATAATTTTTATATATGGTTAAATGAATAAACGTATAATATTATAAATTTTGATAGAATAAAAAGAATTTATTATTAAATAATATATAAGATTATGTAAAAAAATTATATGATAAAAATGATCTCTTAATCATTTTTCTATCCAAATATTAAGGGTATTTGATAAAACTTAAAAAAACAAGTTTTTTTTTTCTCATAAATTTAAAAGTTTATTAGAGTGAAATTAAAAAATCAACTTTTGAAGTTACTTTTAAATTACATTTTAACCTTTACCAAACACTCTCATTCGATTGTTCTATTTTTTTCTTCCAAATAAGTAAGGCATAACCCTTTGGAACGCTTTAACTGTTTGTTGTTAAAACTATTAATCTCTTTACATATATTTTTTGTGTTTTAACTCATGAACACCATAACATTTTATCAATATATTATTATTATAATTAACCTAAAACAAATAATATCACATCACACGAATCACATGACCAACTCTACTTTATCACTCTATATTCATCATTATTATACTAATACAAATATGACCTACTTAGATCCATAAAAACAAGAAAAATCCCTAATATGAGATGTGGGCAGGATTTTTTTTATCTTCATTAGTTCAAATTTATTATATTTAAAGTATGTTTGATGAACCTTATAAGAATTTTTATTTTTTTTACTATTTATAAGTAATAAATTTAAATTTTTATTGAAAAAAAAATTTAAAAATTATTTTTAAAAATAAAAAAATGAGTAAAAAATTTATAAAAAGCATAAATTTAAATTTTTTTAAAATTTACTATTTAAAATCTTTTTAAAATATAAATTTTAAAAAAATAATTTAAATTTATAAATTATAAATAATACCAAAAAAATTAAAACTCGTACTAGTTTCACTAATTTCACCAAACCTGCACTTGTACTAATATATGGTTAATGAATATAGAGTAATAAGATAGAGACAACACGTGAGTCACGTGGTACGATTTCATTATTTCATTAATGAGTATAGAGCAGTGCTAGGGGCACTCGCCTTTTGCACTCTCCGGCCAACACTTCCCTTTGCATTGGACCACGTAAGCTTGTTTCGGGTTTGCGGTGCAACCTCTTACCAGCCAGAATAACGTGGCCCAATAAAAGTGAAAGTGTTGGCCGGAGAGTGCAGGAGGCGAGTGCCGCTAGCACTCCTCTTTAGACTTATTACAGCTATAATTGAAGGGTAAGGCACACAGCCCAATGGTCTCCAATGTAACCAGACAATCAGCTGGCGGGTTTTGAGGGAGATTAAGCTGAAAAAGCAACGTGCCAACCTGACTAGATTGTCCTAAGGTGGACCAGTCTACTGGACACCTGTCAAACAGAAAAGGGTTGTGGTTTCTGTGCTTCTGTATGGTCATCCTCTTCACAATAAGTGAGTGTTGCTGCTGACCCTTCCGTCTACAATTACCTTACCTCTGCTCTCTCTGTGTTTAAATATTTGACAGCAGGATCATTTACTCAGATCAACATCCATTGTCCTTGGCTGCTTGCATTCGGAAATTCTAATTTATATGATCAGTAATGCGAACTCGTTGCTAAGCCACCTCCCCTTCGTGACAAAGAGGTGTCAAATCTTAGCTACCAGCCGCTTTGTTTGTTTCTTGCAGTCTGTATGTATCTTTATGATGCCTCTGCATTAAAGAACTTCGTAATCTTTAACTCCAAATTGCATATGCTCATCTTCTAATATTTTCCCTTTATCCGTGCTCTGTTTTTCTAACAGGGTTTCCCTGTGCTTCCCAGTGTTCTGTTCTGCATATTTTGGTAAGCGTTTTCAGACATGGTTTCACTCTTAGGTGAGATCATGTATGAATAGTGTTGCCGTGAAACTAGCTTAAATTTAAATAAAGAACTTAGCTTGAAGTTGATTCTTTGTTTTCCATGGACAACGTTTAAAGGGTTTTAAGGTTGCTTTAATGGCTGCAGCATCTCCTGCAAGAAAGGTTGAAAAAAGTTTCAACTTTTACCTTTCTATGGGTATGTTTGTTTCTGCTTACTTTTAGGGTTTGAATGGAAACCAAAGAGAGAGCTAGCAGAGGCGGCGAAATAAGCATGGCGGAGAAGAAGAAAAGCCCTAGTACAGAAGTGGTGATCACAGTTTCAGGAGAGGAAAGCCCCAAAGAACCAAATGGATCTGCTTCCAGAGAAGCAGAATCGTTGCCTCCAATTAGGGGTGCGCAGGATACATTTAACAAACCATCCACAGAGTCCAGTGTTTGTAGTGCTGCTGTTGCTAAGCCAGTGTCAATGGGGTCGTCTTCTCCTGAGATTTCAAGGTTTACACCAAGCCCCAATAAGCCCCCAAAAGTCCCTACCCCGCCCGAATCCACACTGACTAGAAGAAGAACAGTTACGAGGTCAAGGTCAGTGTACTCAAAATCCAAGGCTAGATTTGAGGAACAACCTTACCATGTTGATGCTTCTAGTTTTGAAGAGAATACTACAGCTTGGCAAGAACAAGCTGGTGGAAACTCACCTTATAGAGGTTCCCTTTCTAAGGCATCCCCTAATAACAGTTCTACTAGAAGCACTGCGTTGAACCCTCCGGATCTTTTTGGAGAGGTTGAATATGAGGAGATCTTCAAGTTAGTTGAGAAGAGTAATGAAAAACGTAGGAGGGTGAAACCTATGGTTATTATCGAGTGGGCCATAGTTGTGTCTATTACCGCATGTTTAGTAGCTGGCTTAACCGTGGAAAAATTGAAGAAGTGTATATTTTGGGGTCTGGAATTTTGGAAGTGGTGTGTGCTTGCAATGGTTATATTTTGTGGGTTGTTGATTACCACTTGGTTTATGCACCTGGTTGTTTTCTTGATAGAAAGGAACTTCATCCTGAGGAAGAAAGTGTTATATTTTGTTCATGGTTTGAAGAAGACTGTTCAGGTGTTTATTTGGCTGAGTTTTGTTCTTCTTACTTGGGTTCTTTTGTTTCTTGGGATTGAGAGATCAAAGACTGCCACAAATATTTTGGAGCACGTAACCTGGACTCTTGCCTCCATTCTCATTGGAGCATTTTTGTGGTTGTTGAAAACTCTATTGTTAAAGATATTGGCTTCCAATTTCCATATGAACAAATTCTTTGATAGAATCCAAGACTCAGTCTTCCATCAGTATGTGCTGCAGACCCTTTCAGGACCACCACTTGTAGAGGAGGCTGAGAGGATTGGTAGATCACCAACTACTGGTCACTTGAGTTTTAGGAATATAAAGGGTAAAGGGGGGAAAGAGAAAAGGTTGATTGATATGGGAAAGGTTCATAAGATGAAGCGAGAAAAGGTTTCAGCTTGGACCATGAAGACGTTGGTAGATGGGATAATGAATTCAAGGCTTTCCACGATCTCCAATGAATTAGATGAAAGTGCCTATGATGAAGGCGCTGAACAGACAGATAATGAGATTACTAATGAGATGCAGGCAGCAGCTGCTGCTTATCACATTTTCAAGAATGTTGTTAGGCCTGGTTGTAGGTGAGAAATCAACCCTTTCATGATGCTTGTGTTATGAATGTTGTTACCTTGTTTCTCCGTTGTCATTCCCTAATTTTGTGCTCTTTATGATCAGGTACATTGACGAGGATGCCCTGTTAAGGTTCATGATTAAGGAGGAGGTAGATCTCGTGTTACCACTGTTCGAAGGGGCAGAGACTAGTAGACAAATAGACATTAACGCTCTGACATACTGGGTGGTAAGACCTATTATTGGAACTTCATTTTAATATGTAGCCAACACTTCCATTGACAATTACTGAGGGTTAGAATCTGAATTGCCTCGTGAATGCATAATCCTGCATGCATTTGCCTTCTATAATTCTTTTAATCAGTCTTGCTCTAGCATGATTATTCAACAGCTTTAGGAAATGGGATTTCTTTGACATGAATTCTTTGTGCCTGTATCATCTCAAGATGTGGGGGATTTTCGAATTTTCTCCAATTTATTTGATCTTGAACATATCCTGGTAAATTACCACTGCAAAGAGGTTAGATCCTGCCTGCGGAAATACAGAATTTCTCATTAACATGTACGTTCTTGCTATTATCTACAGGTTAAGGTTTACAAAGAACGGAAAGCACTAGCACATGCTCTGAATGACACAAAAACAGCTGTAAAGCAATTACACAAAATTGTTGCAGTGATCCTGATAATTATTACTCTTATAATATGGCTTCTTTTAATGGGCATTGCAAATACAAAAGTACTTTTCTTGATCTCATCACAGTTTGTAGCGGCAGCATTTTTGTTTGGAAATACCTGCAAGAATATTTTTGAAGCTATTATTTTTGTATTTGTGATGCATCCCTTTGATGTTGGCGATCGATGTGTTGTTGATGGACTCCAGGTACCTTCTGAAACACATGTGATGGTTGGTTATTCAAGTCTGGAAAAAGTTAATTAATCATGCTTTCATTTTGCAACTGACAGTTGTTGGTGGAAGAAATGAACATTTTAACAACTGTATTCTTGAAGCTTGACAATGAAAAGTTATACTACCCAAATTCAGTTTTGGCCACAAAGCCCATCGGAAACTATTATAGAAGCCCGGATATGGTTGATAATGTGGAGTTCTCCATTGATTTTGCAACATCAGCAGAGAAGATAGGCAAGCTGAAGGAGAAAATAAAGGAGTAAGTTGAATTAGTTGCACTATTCCTCTCATTGATGTGATAATGAATTGGTACAAATTTCTGAAAATCTCTGTTGGTTGAAATTCATATGAAGTTGAACATGTAGATTTTGCTAAATGACCCAATACATAATAAATACAAGCTATATATACCATATTTAGTCATTTTGTTTTGCATTCTGAATCCATATTAATTTTTTGTTTGTACTCTATGTTTTCTTGTTTGCACAGGTATTTGGAGGGAAATCCCCTACACTGGCATCCTGGCCATAGTGTGATAGTAAAGGAAATTGTGAAGGTCAACTCTATAAAGATGGGTCTGTTTTGCACTCATACAATGAACTTCCAGGACTTTGGAGAGAAGACTCGGCGAAGAACTGAACTGGTTTTGGAATTAAAGAAAATTTTTGAGGAGCTTGATATAAAATTCAATCTCCTTCCTCAGCCGGTACATATCCGACCTATTGGGTCACAGGACTCAGAACCAACTGCCCAGAGCAGCAGGTCTTAGTTTCTCCCAGCGCAATAATGCTACCTATGATCAGCATGTATGTCCTCATCTTATTCAAATATCTCAGTGATCTGAACTTGTACAATTAGCTCGGCGTGCGAAATCCCAGTTGTTGCCACAATACTGTTAAGGGTGCTGCTCATGTTCCAGTGTTGAATTCTATACATTTAAGTTTGGTAGTTGGCCGTTTCTATCAGGAATTGTCTTGGAGTGAGGATGTATGAATTCACTGAAAATACTCTCTAAAACAGTTTGTGAGTTTCATGTTTGCTTGATTATATTTCTGAAACTCCCCATAGCATCTGAGAGATTCCTTTCCAGTCTAAAACTAATCATATTTCAGATTAAGCTATTTTACTCCCTCTGTTTATGTATTCTGTTTCATTCTGGGACAAGGAGAAACAGACACCATGTATAGTCTGCCTAGATGGATCCTGGGGGATAACCTAATCATTCGGGTTTAGGTATAGAATTTACCACGTAGGATAACAACAAAGCAACACGTCAGCAAAAATCTCCAATTCACACTGTTTATCTCATTCCTAAGCCTAGATTTCTTCATCAAATCTATTTTGCACTTGGCAAATACAGGACAACAAAGATCAAGTCACACAGCAAAATGGCCTCAATTTCGATTGCTATGTCACCTAGTTTTGCAACCCACAATAGGGTTTTCCGGCTGACATCTGGATCCTTTTTCAAGCCATTGCCATTAGGGCACTTAAGGGTTCTTTTCTCTCCAAAAGCCAAAGTCCAGGCTTCAAGTGCAGGCCTCATTGAAGGAAAAGGCAGTGAGCGGAAGCAGCAGAACTCAGCTTCTAGTGTGATACCTCATGTGGCAGAAGCTGCTGACTCCGGTGTCATTCTATCTCTCAAGAACTTCTTGCTAAGCATTGTAGCTGGTGAAGTAGTGCTTGGTGTCATTGTTAGAGCTGTTATTGGGGTTGCAAACTTTGATCCTGTCAAGAGAAGCTGAGGAAAATCTGAACTCTTCCCTGTGAATTTTCTTGATCTCTCCCTTCTCTGTATTATTGGTTAGTGCAGTTACATTAATAATCTGCTGCTGCTATTTTAGCTATATAAATATTGGTACGAAACTTCTGAGTTTGAAGATAAATTTCTTAAACTTGAATGTCTGTTTCATAAATCAACAGAAATCAGAGAAGTGCAAACGCAGAACTAAATAGACAGGTTGATCAAGCCAAAACATCAATGGATGATTGAAATGGAGGAATGCCTCGGAATTCATTCATTATAGTGAGACTATAAACATCTCAGTAAGAGCTAACATTAAATGAAATAAAAACAGGACCCGGACCTTCGGACTCAACAATTCATCGCCAAGCTCTAGTGCTTGGCTTTAGTCGGATAGAGAATTTGACTCCCACCAACAACTAGAAAATCCCCCATTCCCCCATAATTCCCCATGTTAAAAATGAAAATAAAAACAGAATGCTTCTGACAAATTGAAGATTGATTTTGTTCGGAGATGCGTTTCTTCTGCCAACTCATATTGCAAAATTCAAACCCTTTTGTTTGCTTTCCTCTGTACAGCAATCCCCCAAACAAAGACCCCAGAATCAATGACGGTAAGCCACTCCATGGCCTGGTATAAATCTTGCATCGTCTTCAGTGTAGACATGAGTTTCATTTAATAGCCTGAAACAAGCAAGTTAATATTTGTATTAGCACTATATGTTAACCAGCAAAAGATAAAATCAAGAAAAATTGTTGCTTGTGATTGAACTTACGAGAGATAAACAGTTTTGTTCATAGTGGAAGAGGAGATGAATGAAGCACCGTTTAAGTACAGCAGTTCACCATCAACTCTTTCTGCAATTCTTTTGTCAATCTCCTCAGCACTGATAGAGAACGGTTGGTCTGAGGCCTATGGAAAACAAATGGTGAAAGATAAGTACAACCTGTTATTATACTACTTAAGTAACCAAGTATATATACTTTGGTCTATATTTGCATACCATAACCCATCCCCAAGTATCTGCGAAAGATGGTACATGAGCTGTGTATGCCCTCACATCTGCACGGACAAGCAGAAAAGATTCAACTTTACTTTGGGAAATTGTTCACTCTATTGTTTTGAATCTTTTATTAGTTAGATGTGAAACTTACACTTGAAAACCTGTTTGATTGTATTGTATATAGATGAAAAGACCTCCTTGTGGGTGAAAATCCCAGCTGGCCCAGCCTATTCAACATTGAAATGTCTCAGAACTTCTGGTTTGTTTTGACAAGGCTATGACTAAGTGATCAGGAAATGAGAAGAATAAGAAACCAACCTGAGTAACAAAGATGCCATTCTCATTAAGCCTAGGCTTGAGAATCCTTTCATAAAATGATTTTGTATAGAGTTGATAACAAGGCCCTCCTTCAACTGGATCTGCTAAGTCTCCAACTATGAGATCAAATTTTTCAGTCTTTTTCTCCAGTTCAGCCCTTGATAAGAACCACTCTTGCATAGTTAGCTCCACATACCAAAAAGAAATGCACTAAAGGAAATTAAAACCTCCTTTTCAAATAGACAGTTCTGAAATAAAATAAAATAATAATAATAATAAAAAAGGCGAAAAACCTCCATCACTCACTTGGCATCATTGATAACAAGATTAAGCTTCTTGTTAGAAAATGCCTCTTGGTTTACTGTGAGGAATCTGCGGCAGAAATCAACTACTTCCTGCAATTAAGCTGCCTAGGATTACAAAATATGCCATCCAAAAGACATGCTAGAAACCAAAATCAATCCTGAATAAACAAAGATGTGATAATCTTGGGATTATTACAACCAACAACAAGCAGACATTAGGTGTGGAGATATAAATAGCAGACATTCAGTTCAGTCCATATGGGGTCTATGTCTAGCCCAAATTGTTTGAATAAATGCTCGAGTTACCTTGTCAATATCACACATGACCACTTTTTCAATGGAATTATGCCTGAGCGCTTCCCTTGCAGCAGACCCTTCTCCTCCCCCCATGATGAATACAGTCTTTGGGCTGTAGAATTGGTAGGTAATGACAAATCAATCCAATGTAAAGAATACCCAAATTTGTTATTTCTTTCTTCCCAAGCAACAGAACACATTTCAATTTGCCTTTGGCCAAAACAAAGAAGAATGAACTCACTTAGGGTGAAATAGGAGAGCCGGATGGATTAGGCATTCATGGTAAATAAATTCATCAACTTCAGCACTCTGCATCTTCCCATCAATCACCAAGACCTGTAGCCAAACCCATAAGTTGGGAAAAAGGAAAATCATCAGGCTAGCATCATTTCCAAATCCAAAACCAAAATTCAAGTTTGCTCAAAAGAAGAGATGCATATAAAACTTACGGTAGAATGCCCAAATCCATCCCCGAACACTAGAGACAAATTCATTTGGAACAAAATATAAGGAAAAATTACTTATAAAGTTTAAATATTACCTAAATTTAATGTTGACAATCCACTAACTTGTTATATTAGTAATAAGTTTATTATTAGTGAATTGCTTACGTTATACCTTAAATTTAATATGATTTACGTAAGTTAAAAACTTTGTAAATAGATTTGTCTCTTTTTTTTTTTTGTTAGAGGTAAATCCATCTTTACTAGGAACTTTGGGCTGGATTTGAGCATTCTGGCTAAAACTTTAAAACTTAGTCGTGTGCTTGCCTTTCCAAAACGTTTAGTATCCAACAATGCAAAATCCTGATAAATGCTTGTGCCTTTGTGCAATACCCTGTTGAGAGAGAAAGAAGATGAGACTGAGTTGATTACATTATCCAAAAAAGGGAAGAAAGTCTCTATTTTTGATCGAATGTAATGCCAAAGTTCACATTGGCATATCCACATGGTAAAGAGTGCATAGATTTAGCTATTGCGGGGCGAGACTGGGGCACAAACCTGTTCAAAGCAAAGGACCACTTGAGATCATCATCAATGGTTTCTTCATACCAACAATCATCTGCCGGGTGAGTCTCCTTGATGGTTTGATGGGTTTCATTGCAGATTTTAGAGAACCCATTTGCATAAAAGATTTCCACAGCCTCAGTACCCATGATCTTACTGAAGAACAAGAAAAACCCAAATGGAGAAATAGATGAGAATGTGAGAACAGAGGAATAAAAGGTAGTGGCTTGGGCTTGTGTGAGAGGTAGAGTGCAATTTATAGTAGTAGCATTCCAATGGCAGAAAGATGGCGCTAAAAGTTTGCCATTTTTAAAAAGAGACAGATAACCATAAAAAGGTAGGAGACGACCCACGAGGACCAATCGATGGTGGAAAAGTTTTAGGGCCTGTCTGCTTAGAGGCAACTTAGTTTAAGAAAGTTTTTATTGAAAAAATAATTTTAAAAAAATAATAAATGAAAAATTAATAAGTACTTTA